TTTTCAGTAAGCATACAGAGGTGGAAATAAAAGCACCTCGTCATAATTTTGCTGGTTCAAAATAAAAACTACTCATTTTCCTGTATTTAGTCAAAGGACCAAGAAAAAAAAACCCAAAAGGCTTGGAAGAAATAACCTTTGGAGTTACTTTCCTGTCAAAGACAACTCATTTCTAGGTTACAATAAAAGAAACCTAGAAGAAGGAAGAAAGAAAATATAATTGCAAAGAACTGCAGTTATATCTGGAAGAAACAAACCCCAAAGTATGGATGCATAGGACATATTTTAGCAAATCCTAAAATTCACATTTGACTGGCTGCTGATACTGCAGCACAGTAACACTACTGTGAATACTTCACAAAACCTGAAAGAATTAGCAGAAATTTTAATTTTTTTTTTAACTAAAAAGAAACATCAGAAAATCTCTATTTTTTATGTTTATGGTCACTTATTGAAAATAGGGGGACAGATGAGTGAATAGCAAAGATCATGAAAGAAAATAAGCATGGAAAGCCTGTTCTGCCATCTTTTAGTTCACAGAATTTTTTGAGATTCCTTTTACTCGCTGGATGCATGTGTATACAATCCAAATCAGTCTCACTGTGAGACTTATTTTAAAAAACACTTTGTGAAATTGAACTTGAACACAGAAATAATGTAGTTCATTAAAGAACTCATCTGGGTACCAGTCTTGTTATTAAACGAACCATTCAGTTTAATTTTTTTTAATTTACAATGCCATTTTGGGATAATCAGAAAATTGAGCATTGCATACCACACTGCCATATGTACACTTTAAGATAATTAGATGTTCAATATCGAGATTCCCATGAAGAGGAGTAGCTGTGAGCCATATTCTGTTTTGAAACTTGAAAAAGTGTGATTGCATTTTCACTACTTTTTCTAACCGCTCTCCTCTTGTGGACCTTCTTCATCCTAGCTCAGTTTTGGATGTGTGTTGCAATTTGTGTTTGTTGTTGTTTGAATGCAGGGTCTGTGAAAAAGGTGCAAAGACACTGGTAATATCTGCCAGACTTGTTTGCGCTGTTTCAGAGAGCAAGGAACTGAGTGGTGACAACTCTCTGTATTCTGCTTAATCTTAGTTCGTTTACCTAAGGATTTTAAATGTAAAAAAATGTTGTTTAAATCAAAACACTGTCTGTACAACAAGAAAAATGTAGCATGATAGAGAAATAAAATAAAAACTGTCACAAAGTTCATCTACCACTAACATCTGATTTAAGGGTTGTATATCACAATAAATTATACCTTAAAAATAATGCATTTCCGCTGGCCAGTACAGCCATCAACTAGAATTAGATGGAGACCTGAACTGGATATCTAATTGTTCATTGCCTAATACTCTAGGAAATTGTTATACTTTTTCTTTCATTTCAACTACCCTGCAACATGAATTCAGCCAGTGACAATTTGATTCTCTTAGATCTGCCACTCGTCCACTGGTTTTAAGTTTACTACCCAAGTTACATGGGAGAGTAACTAAAGAAATCAGTGGGTTTTCCTGAATGTACACACCTTCCCTCTGCATGTTCCCGTTGCCACATCTACCTCTGCAGGTCTCTGCTGTGGTGGGACAGCTGTGTAAATTCCTGCTTCTTCAATCAGACCCTTTTTGCCTGAAACAGGCAGGTTGCACCACCACAAAAAAGGACACACAAAGCACAGAATGTGTAAGAATAAATGCATACAAAGAAAATTGTGCTCTGCTTACATGGGAAAGAACCCCTCCAGAAATCAAACCCCACATCTGCTGTGTCCCTACCAGCAAGTCAATCTGGGAGGCAGATGTTGCCTGCTATGAATATGTCTGGTATCCAAATGAAAATGAGGCGTGTTTACCTGTCCTCTTCCTCTGCTCACAATTCAGAAGGTGTGCAGGAGACTGCTAGAGGGTTTGAAATGGTTGATAGTTTTAATGACACATCCATCCAACTGAACAGCCAGGAGGTTTAAACTGTGAGGGCAATCCCAGAAGATTTTGTAAACTTAGTGCTATCTTGACTTGCAAGTAAGAGTCTGTCACACTTACCAAAGAGCATATCTTCTCTCTCACCAAAAGCATAATGTGTTGCTTATTTTCTGTCCTACCTTGTAATTTCTTTACCTCATACCTGAATTTCCTACTGTGTGTTCAAAAAATTTTGTTTTATCAGGAATACGTATTTTTACAACAGGAAAACATTGATGAACTATTTAATTACTTAATTGTGAGTTGCTTGAAAAAACAAATCCTCCTTACCCAAAATTCTGAAGTGGTTCAGCACTAAGCCGTGTTTTGCTGTGATGCTATACTGTCTTCATGAAAGCTGTTGTCAGGTAATCTGATGTGCTGATGCTTTGCAGGACCCAAATCTCCTGTATGAACTGTGCCTTCTCTGGAGTCTGCAAAATCTCCCCTGGACAAGCCACATAATGCAAAATGGGAAGCAAGAGAGTGTGGCTCACAGTGAATAACATAACCAAACAAAAATGCAGGTCTTATCAGACACTGTGACACAATATCCATAGGGATCTTACTATTGAGCTGACCTGACACAAGAGATTTAGTACCAGTTTAAAAATCAAACTGTTCTGCCCCTTTTGTAGTCTGTTTTTATTGCTTGTTTCTTTAAAAGACTTTGAAATGCACACTCATTTTTTTCAGGATCATGACAAATGGTGTAATACTGGTAAAAATGTAAGAGAGCTGAATAACCTTAATCCTTTTCTTTCACTAGTGTCTGCCTTTTTTAGTTATTTATATAGAGCTATAAGCCATCTGAGAGCAGCTGGTTCATTGTTATTTGTCTAAGGACCAAAAATGTGGTAAAAGTGTAAAAGAAATAACAAATTACATGCAAATTGTCAACAAACACACAGGCACACAGGTCCTGGAGGTTGTGAGGTTTGGCAGCTCCTGCAGTATCCACAGCAGTTTGGATTTAAACTCCCTCTGGAGAGATCCCATCTGGTTCTGGAAAACAGATAGTATTAATAGCAGCCAAAAGTGAAACTCCCCTTAAGATTCTAGGATTAAAAGAGCATGGAATGGCTACTAGAGGAAAAGAGTCTTACCTTGATAACAAACACAAAACAACATTTACAGCTTGGAAGGAATATAAAAAATTACATTTAATTTTGTGTTTTGGTACCAACAAGAATTCCTCTGCTACTTAAGCTAGATAATATGGACTTTCAATAAAATCATTTGACTCATAAAATGTCTCATTTAAAGAGAAAAAAAATCAATAAGTCCAACTTCCCACGTACTTTTACTTTACTGTCTCTGTTTAAATCAGTATGTTGACTACACCACTGCCAAAGAGTACCAATATAATATTTTCTATAGAGAGAATTGTGGAAAAAAAATTGGAATGTTTTGAATGTGTAGGAGACAGGGGAAGAGGGGAGGGGACTTCTCAACCATTTTTAAAGGAAATTACATTCTCTAGCTGCCAAAAGAAATGAACTTTGCAGAAATAAAAATGTGCTCTTGATCAGATTCTGACTTTGAAAGCGGTATGAAAACAGCTTAAAATTGAACATGCACAGAAAAAACTAGGCCCTGGTATTAAGTAGTGCATGTCACAGCATTCATTGTAAGTTTGCATCTGTAAAGCACTCTAAAGGCAGTAAAAAAACTTAAAGGAAGTACAAATTAATTGTTTCTTCAGTTTTGAAAGCTAATTCGGATAGTGCATGTCACATGACTCCTCAATAATGTTAGTTATTTGTAATTTACTAGGTACTTGAGGAATCCAGGATCTGAGAAAACATTAATAGCATCTGAACATTCAAACATTACAAGCCCAGGCATAATGCAATAGATGACAGTTTGCAAAAAATACCTGACAGAAATAATAAAAAAAATGAAATATACTGAAGTGGCCAGCAGTACTTTCTGCTTATTATAAGTCCACCATCTTCAAGATTCTGGTAAATAAACTGAAGATGTCTTTAGAAAAACAACGAGGTGGTTTTGCGTATATTTATAGGGAATTCTAGCTTGGTACACATGCACTGTCCAAATTTATATGGGATGAAAGGACCTACATAAGCACTGTATGCAATTAAACACCCTTTTTAATGTAAGGCTTTTCTACAATGACCCTGTTCTCCAAGACATATTATTTATACCCTTTATTCCTTCATCCCTGTTCCCTACCTGACTGTCTGCTAGAGGCCCTGTGGGGGATTCTGCCAACCAGAGAGATAAGACAATTAGTGTAAGACAAGTAGTGTTTGCTTGCTGACTGCAAAATATGACCTCTGTGACTAAAACTCCAGACAAACATAAATACTGATGGGAAGGCAATTATTTACAGCTGAAGTGTGACTGAGGTACTCAGAAGACTTCAAAGTTGGTGCTTCCCTGGGCTCTGCGCTATAAAAACCCTCAGTACTCAGAAGGAGATTCAGAAACATGCAAGGTCAAATCCCAGGCAGAGGAGCCCAAAGAGCTTTATCGGTTTCCACAAATTGTAAGTGTGCTCATTGTCATATGCTAATGTGATTAAGTGCTCCAGTGATGAAACTCTTCAGATTTTCAGAAGACGTATTGGAGCTGAAAGAGCAAGGACAAAATCCAGCACTGTGACCAACAAAGTGATACAAAAGAGGTTTACAGAGAACCCTGAGCTGAAACACAAAGGTCTGAAGTTACTTTTTGTGCTATGAGTTGGTCATGGGCAAGCTAGCCACCGTGAGGAGGGAGCGGAGACAAGACACGGGGTGTGCTGGACCTTTCAGCAACCTGCATGTGACATGAAGCCCTGATTTAACCACCTGCCTCCTCACTGTGGTGGAGGGTTGTTTACTGTACATGTTGCGCTGTGTTGGTCCAATATGTAGAAACATTTCAAGCACCTTAAATTAACTTAGGGCCTTGCCTGTGTGTTCATAAAGCATGCTGCAAAGCTGCAGCAGAGGCTTGGGTTCTGCTGTGGGGTGAGCCCTCCCTTGGTTGTACCTCCTAAGTGGTATCTTTTTTGTCATTTCAGTTACTCTCCTGAGAGTTTCTGCAGATTACTCCCCAGCCTTCCCTCACCCTCTGTGCTGCTGTGCTCCTGTGGGACATGAAGGTACTGGCACAGCATGAATGAGACACAGCCTAGCCCATGATGTGGACGTTTCGAGGGTGCTCCCTTGACAGCTGAACTCCTTGAGGGTGTATATCTGTCTGCTCCTGCTCATAATCATCAGTCATTTCAGATAGTTTTCTAATAGTTGGGTTGTGGTTTTTTTTTTTAATTTTTATTTTGTTTTAGTTTTTCTTTCTTTTTTTTTCAGGATGATCCTTTGTCATGAGGTTTTTTCTTCTATTTCAGCTTTTTCATCCTTTCTTTCATTTGTCAGAATCTTACGTGCTTTCCTGTCACATATTTTGTTTCATTTTCTGAAGAAATGGCATCTCAAGGTATTCATCCAGTCTGTAAGTGCCAGTTTTTCAGATCACCAGTAGCTTCACAGACCGTGAACAAAAGGGACTAAAATGCCTCAGCACAGTTCACATGATTCAATTTCACTTGAATAAAATCAGTCTCTGTCCAGTCGTAATGCAGGAGATAACCACTTGATATGTTTATTTATTGGTACATAAGAAAAGTCTGTCTTGAAGAAAAGCTACAGACTTAAGGATAACTGGAAGAGCAGAGAGAATAAAATAAATGCTGATTATTTGTTCTCAGCACGTTGGAGTGATTCAACAGCCCTTCTCTGCACAAGATCTGCACACAAGGAAGAAAGTGCTAAGACTGACAGATATAAGCTGACTACTTATTGGCAGGTTTTGCTCAGAATATGGGTGTGTGATATATCCACCCACATTAGAAGCCCAGCCACGACAGAGAAGCTCTGTTACCCTTCCAGGTAAAGCTTCCCCAAATATTTGGAAATGTAAATACAGCTCTTCTGACTATGAGTTTTAGTTACCCCTACAACTGCTCACTAGAAAAAAAACTAAGTAAATGACATTAATCTAACAAAAAGCAGACATGAAGAGCTGTGACAAGAAAATAAGATTTTTCTAATGCTACCATTTTTAATAACCTAAAATAATTAAAGGGAAAAAAAGGAATAAAAATTGAACATATTGAGCAAAATATATTTAGTTTGTTGACCATTTCAATAAATCAGGAAGTGACATAGGTTGATAACTAGAACTTGGCTACTTTCAGAAATTGAGAATTTACTTATTTTACTAAAAAAGAAACTTACCTTAACCTTTAATTTAACTTTGCAGAAACAAAAGAAGAACTACATATGGAAATCTAATCCTGATTGTGATAAACATGCAGGGTTTTTCTTGTTTGTTTGTTTTTTTATTTGTCATGCTGTTCAAGTTGGCTACTTGTATATTCTGAAGGAACTTATATCCATGTGAATGTTATCACTAGTCCATTAATATGCAGTACCTAGACATTTTTTTTCATGCTAATGAATGCTAACATTATGTATGGATTGTTTTTTCTTTTAATCCAGAGTGGATCATTAGATTATCTAGCATGGGCTTTTATATAACCAAATAATAGTTATCATCTACTTATTCTTTCCTTCAATTTATAACTTAATTAATCTTCTAACTAGAGGAAAAGGCTAAACACAAAGACAAATATTTGCTGGGTTCACATTGCTGCAATGATACAACTTAGTGATTTGGTTTTTTAATTAAAATTGTTCATCTGTAATACTTGACCAGGAATTTTTATTTTGCATTTTTCAATGGATTGAAGATCTTTCTGCAGGTATGTCACCATGGTTTAGTCTTCTGAACAGATAAAAAGATTGAGTTCCTTAACTTTACCAGGATTCAGTCTAGTATTTGGATTTTTAAGGAGACTTTTTAAAAAAAAATTACTTGTGACTGCAGGTGGTACCTGAGAATAGGTCTTAGGAGTGTTATAAAGACATGTAATATCACCTTCTCAATTTTTTGGTCTCTGTTTGGGTGTAGACAGTGAGGAAAATATTAGGGAGGAATTTGCTTTTGAAAGGTGAAGATATTTCATCTTCATGAAGAACTACACAGTAACTCAGCCATTCCATCTCCTGTGCAAGAAGCAGCAAGGAATTCTCTCAGGCAAAAATCCTCTCAAAATTTGCTTTGGAAAATGCCTAGTTCTTCATGGCTTTCTGGAAGCCTTATTAAAATTCCAACTAATAATAATAATAATAAAAAAGTTAATTAAATATGAAGTGAATTAAGTCTTCTAGTGGCCTATTCCAAATGACAAATAAGAGATTTTTCTGAAATTAGCAGAGGAAGCTGAACCTGTTCTGTGGAACTTCAAGCTGAATATTCGCCTGAATATTCACCTTGTCTACAAAGCATTGCATCACCAGGAGCACTGGTTATATTTTCCCTAAGAAGGAAACAGGAATGAAGTGTAGAAGTTGAAAGAAAACAAAGGCAAAATTATTTTCTGCCTTTTAAAGGACCTCTCTAATGCACTGAGAGGGTATTTATTCTCTAACAATTCATTGTATACTACAGAAAAATCACCACCAGACAGGGCATGATTCCTGTGATATCAGTGAGACTTTTGCCATTGATCTCAATGGTACTGGAATCTCACCTTGCTGAGAGATCAGTTTTGTTTTTTCTTTTTTTTTTTTCCCACTCTTAAAAACACTATTCGATGAAAGCAAAATTAGAAATTATTTGGACAAGGGAGCTGTAGATTTCCTTCTAAAATGCTTGAGAATGCAGTTACCTATAGCACAGAAAGTTCCACTATCAGAAACATTTCATGAAAGTTTTTCTATTAATTTTATTTTGCTGTAGTCAATTGCCATCTTAAATCAACCAGTAAATATTGTACAGAGTTGTCTTGAAGAAAAGAAGTCAATATTTTTCATCCCTAGGAATATTGGAGCTTTAAGGGAGACTCTGAATTGCATGTACCTAAATAATGTGTCTTTGTTTAAGATGTAACCAGTTACCAGTAATTTTACAAACTACTTAATACTAACTCAGCTTTACTGAGTTCCTTTTCACTATTGGGTTTTCTTTAGGACACAACTAAATGAATTATCCAAAAGACTCACATGTAAAATAAAAATGTTTTAAAAATTCTCTCCTTAATTCCATGGCAAAAATTCTTCATTATAAGGGTCATGATACATGCCCCCTAAAATTGTCATATAAACTTTGACCACTTCATTTTTAAATATACAAATACGTAGTAAAATCTTGTCTGTCGAAAATAGGTAATTAATACAGAGACTGACATTCAGATGCTTTTAAAAAACAAGAGTTGATTGAGATTTGAATGTGGTGGAGACCTTGAACTCTTCTCCCTGCCAACTGCTACAAAAAGCTTTTGCAAAAGTTTCAAATAGTAACATTATATATTGCAAAGTCTGACTTTCAGTTTCACAGGTTAACCCTTTAACATACAACTGTGCCTCCAGGTCTGTGTCCCAACACGTGTGTGTATGTGTGCACCATGATGAACCTTCTGGTATTACAAAGAGGATTTCCAAAACGCTTTGGCGACATAAATTAACATGTCCAGAGTCTATCAGAGCACAGGCTTTCATATAAATCACAACCCTGTGTAAGACTCCAGTCCCGGAAGCTGCCAGCTCACAGACTTGGCTAGGAGTTTTATTTTATATATCTAGAGTTCTTTAATATCTCAAGATAGCATCAAGAGAATAAGCCACGGACTTGTTCCCAAGACATTTCTTTATTAATTTAGGAGAGTAAATAAGGGAACTTGGTCAAAGGGACATCACACAGGCTAGACAAAAATGTTCCACCACAATACTGACTCAGCATATACTATTAACCCACAACCCTTATGTCAAAATCCAATCAGTCCACAACCCTTAAGTCAAGATCCAATAAATTCACAACTCTTAAGTCAAGATCCAATCCCTCCAGCTCTAAGCCACCCTAAGCATCAAGAAAGGAGTAAAGAAAGAGAAGCAGAGGGAGCAAGAAGAGAGGAGGAGAAAGAGGGAGAGACAGATAAGACAACTTTATAGAAGACCAGCTCTCAAGTTCAATGGCAGGGCTGCAACATGAAGCAAACACACGTCTGTGGTTTTATCTGCTCTGGTCCCTATGGCCAAACCCTCCAGGTGAGGCCTCTGACCCCCTGGCCACTCTGAGGTTCCAGGCCAGGGTGAGGGGCAGTGTTATCACTGTCCCTGCCAATCTGAGCTGGCTTAGGGGCTCCAGGACAAGTGGTGTGGTATAGTTTTCCTGGGCTGTTTGTGACTGACAGCTACTCCAGGGCTTCCCACGTGGGCTCCAGGGGCTGCCATGAGGGATATGGCACCACCCCACCTCCCTGGTGTTTGACCCATCCCTTCCCACTCCACACACCCACACACTCCTCACAAGGTAGTTCTGACCCAATAATTACTGATCTGGTGCCTAAAAGCCTCTAAACGAGAAACTAAGATCTGAGTCAGCAAATCTGAAACATCAAAGCATAAAATTCTACTATTGAAGCAAAGGAGCTGCATTTTTATCTTGTACACAGCCTGAAAACAGAAATGGAGATGCCACTAGGCAAAGATGAGACTTTGCATGTACCCCAGATGGAATTTCTTTCGGATTCAATTGCAAATGGAGAAATTTGTACTTTGGCCAAAAAAAGTGCCTGGAGAATTCAGATTATGCCCTTTAATTATCTGAGGAGTAGTCCAGAAGAAGCTGAGTTTTTGACAACGTTAGAGATAAATGCTTGATACTCACATAATGAGAAATATTTTCTAGTGGTTTAGCTTCAATTCCATGATTATGCTATTTTGTATCTCTTCAGTCAAAAGGCTGAAGAATTGTTCTGCCAATTACCCATGATTACTGGAGTTTTTGCCTGTCTCTTTCTGTCACTAATTTAGGTCAAGTTTTCTGAGTAAGAGATAATGCCTCAGGCTTGCTCCTGAGATGGAAGGGATAAGGTATTTAAAGTTTATCTTGACCCTCCAGGTATTACAGTAATCCACTCTAATGCATCATTGAAAGCTGTGATTGCTTCATTCCTTTTGTAACTTAAGTGATATAATATTACTTAATGGAAGTATTTTTATCTAACTTTTTCTCTGCTACCAAAGGTCAAAGAATGCTAGACAAAGTCAAAAATGGTAAGAAGAAGAAAAAAATATT